GGATGAACACACCCTGTGTTCTAGGTATAGCCACACTAATTAAACATTACTCAAGGTACTGTTTTCTTCCTTTATGTTTTTGAAAGTTTTTTGGTTTTGTTTTGTTTTTACCATTGTCATCACCATCATTACACCTGAATAAATATGAGTAAAATGCTTCTTACACAGCAGGAACTGTTGTGAGTGCTAAGTATTATTGTTTTTCAATTCTTTTAACAGCACAGAGGCACAGAAAGGCCTCTTTTGTTCATTAATGTGATACTTTAAAATAAAGCAGGGTATAGCTTATTGGTATAAATACTTACCAATTGTATTGATCTTTTCAAAGGGCTTTTCAAAGAATATAGTTCTTCTGATTGTTCTTTTTATTTCCTATGCTACCTTCAGTTTTGGCTGTAAGTTTTGTCATCTGCTTTTTTAATTTCATTAGCTGTTTTTCTGGTTTCCTACCTTAGATGTGTGTGTGTGTGTGTGTATGTGTGTGTGTGTAAAAGAGGCAATGCTGGGACTTAAACTCAGGGTTTCATGCTTGCTTTGCTTCAAATGTTTGCTAGGTGGTGCTCTACCATTTGTATCAATAGCTGGCTTTGAACCTAGATCCTTCAGATGTCAGCTTAAGTACTTCTTTTCCTGCTTTCCATAAATTTGGATGTTATAGTTTTACTTAGTTTAAGATATTTTTGTTTCTCTTGAGACCTCCTTGACCTATATGTGATTTAGAAGTATATTGTTCCATCTCCAAATATTTTGGGATTTTTCCAACTGACTTTCTGTTGTTGATTTCTAACTCAGGTTTTTTTTTTGTTGGTTTTTTTTTTTTTTTTTTTTTTTTGTCAGTCATGGTGCCTGAACTCTGGGTCTGGGCCCTGTCCCTCAACTCTTCAGCTCAAGACTAACACTCTACCACTTGAGCCATAGTGCCACTTCTGGCTTTGCTTATGTAGTGCTGAGGAATTGAACCCAGGGCCTACTGCATGCAAGGCAAGCTCTCTACCACTGAGCTACCTTCCCAGCCCCTCAGTTCTGTTTTTAGCTGTGAGCACTATGAGGCTCGTGTCTGCTGTAGTAGACAGGGAGACCCTCATCTCCACCACTCCTCCAACCACTCTTTCAGAATTGTGATGCCTGAATCAAAGGTGATTAAACTGAATAGAATTCTCCTAACAACTCACTTTATCTGAATTTCAATTTTTTTTTATAGGAACAGGGTTAAGTAGTACAAATGAAATAGTTCAGAGTTCTACATCGCTGTAAGCAATTTTAACTTGTAAGAAAAAAAAGAATTGTTTTTCATCTATTGTGGATGGAACCTCTGGTCTTATATAGGTGAGCTACATCCTCAGCCCCATGCAAGCAATTTTAAATAGAGCAAATTTGCTGTTGGCTTGCTTTGCTACTCTTTTTCCAGTCATGTGAAAGCATAATTAATAGACAAAGGCTTGATTTTTTTTTTCATATTCCTTTATTCCTGGAAACACTTTGTGAAAATTTAACTATTAAATAAATGTATGAAATGTATGAAACCACTATTTTGCTGACAAATTTAGCTATTCAGTGTCTTGTGAACCCTGCCTATACTTTAACCTGTTTCCTATTTTGACCCAAGTCTAAAACCATCAACAATAACAAAAAAAAAAATCTTCCTGTGTGGCCTGTGGATATCAAATCTGAAGGTTATGAGTGCATTTCCAACTAGGGACCCTAAGCAAACAAACGCTCCTAGATACCTACACCCTTCCTGTTTGGGGATAGAGTTTACTGTGGAACAGATTTCGGAAATAGGTTTCTAACAATTTTGGCTTGTATTTATAAAATGCTGTAGGGCGAGGTCTTCCTTTAACAAAAACTAATGATTTCCTGTCTCATGTCCAACCTAGGGCATTTTAAAACAGGCCTTTTAGAAAAATGTCTCTCTTGTAGATTGCCTTCTACAGTTTTAGTGGTTCTTTGTGTGTGTGGTTTTTTTGTTGTTGTTGTTGTTGTTTTTTGGGGGGGAGTCCAGTCGTGGGGCCTGAACTCTGGGCCTGGGGGCGCTGTCCTTCAGCTCAAGGCTAGCACTCTACCACTTGAGCCACAGCGCCACTTCCGGCTTTTTTCTTTTTGCTTATGTGGTACTGAGGAATCAAACCCAGGGCCTCAGGCATGCAAGGCAAGCGCTCTACCACTGAGCCACCTTCCCAGCCCCAGTTTTGGTGGTTTTTACTGACAAATACACACACAAAAAAATGATGCATTTCAAGTGAATGGTTTCAAAGGGCATACAATCTAAAATGTATATATGTTTACCAAACTAAAGTGCTTATCACTACAGTAACAGCCATTAACAGTTAGATAAGTTTATGAAATACTATAAAGTAAGCTTAAATTAGTGTTTTTCATATGCAAATCTGTAGCATATTTGTGTTCTACAAATGAACTAACTGAAGGGTTACAGTTTAAGTAAAAAACAGACTTACATTAAAGAATTTTCAGATTAGTCCACAGTGAAACATTATCCTCATCTAGTACGTGTGTTCCAAAAGAAAAAAAAAAGCCTATAAAGTTTAAACCACCCACAAAGTGGCTCACTGAGCCCTTTGGTTGGTCTTAGGATGCATTTATTATATGGGCTGTCTGGTTTGGTAAAAGATTTATCTCCCGGTCCCCCATGGGCCCTATATTGACTCCACTTTGGCCTTGTGTTCTTGGTAGACCAGCCATAGCCATAGTGAGCTCTATTGGCTTCACATCCTATATATTAAGTTCCTTTATCAAATACTGAGAGCATTTCTGAGTCATGTAAACCTCAGGATAAATTGGAGTAAGTGACTAGTATAAAATGATTGAATTGCTATTATGAGTAAATCTCATCACATAAAAAAATGTGTTCTGGGCATCGGTGGCTCATGCCTGTAATCCTAGCTACTCAGGAGGCTGAGATCTGAGGATCTGAGGATTGAGGTTCAAAGCCAGCCCAGGCAGGAAACTGTGAGACTCATCTCTGGTAAACCACTCAGAAAACCTGAAGTGGTGCTGTGGCTCAAGTGGTAGAGTGCTCACCTTGAACTGAAATGCTGAGGGATAGAGCCCAGGCCCAGAGTTTAAAGCCCCACAGCCGACAAAAAGTGTGTTTGTGTGACCACTGAGAAGACAGCTAAAGTTTGTATATTTTAATTTCTGTATCCTTTGAAGAACTTATCCATTAAATTTCCTTGGGACTTGTGAAGTATTTTCAAGAGCACAGAAAAGGATTTAGTAAAAACAGCAGCTTACCATAAATAGTGACCATTTGAGAAATAAAAACTGTCACAAGCCCAGCAGTGTCTTGAATCATTGACTTCTAATGTGTTTCAGATTGTGTAAAAATGTTCTCTGGAAAATAATATCACATTGTTGCTATTGTTATATCCCCAAAATAAGTATAACACACCTCTTAAATCAGATAATTTTAATTCTCACAGCAGTTTTTTTGTTTTTTGTCGGTCATGGGGCTTGAACTCTGGGCTTGGGCTCTGTCCCTGAACTCTTCAGCTCAAGACTATCACTCTGCCACTTGAGCCACATTACTACTTCCAGTTTTCTAGTAGTTACTTGAAGATGAGAGTCTCATGACCTTTCCTTCCTGCCTGGGCTGGCTTTGAATTGTGATCCTCAGATCTCAGCCTCCTGAGCTAGGATTATAGGCATGAGCCACTGGTGACCGGCTTCTCACAGCTTTTTTAAAACAGATTTTTACAAATAAAGACTTGGCAGTGTTTTTCCCAAAATACGTGAACTACTGAGTACAAAGAGTCACATAGAAATGGATGCTAATGGCTTATGAATATAATCCTAGTTACTCAGGAAGCTTGAGATTGAGGATTTTGGTTTGAAGCCATACTGAGCAATAAAGTCTGTGAGACTCTTTATCTCCAGTTAGCCACTTTAAAAGAAACCAAAATTATTGTTGAGCACCAATGGCTCATGCCTGTAATCCTAGCTATTCAAGAGGCTGAGATCTGAGGATGACTGTTCAAAGCCAGCGGAGACAAGAAAGTCCATGAAATTCTTATCACCAAGCACCTGAAAAGCGGAAGTGGTGCTGTGGCTCAAGTGGTAGAATGCTCACCTTGAGCTGAAGAGCTCAGGGACAGTGCCCAGGCCGAGTTCAAGACCCATGACCTACACAAAAAAATAGAAAAGAAAAATTAAAAAATACAAAAACAGAAGTAGAGGTATGGCTCAAGTGGTAGAGTGCCAGCTTGAGTGGAAAAAGCCAAGGGACAGCACCCAGGCCCTGAGTTCAAGCCCCACTGTAGACACACACACACACAAATAAAATGTGTACTGTGGAGAAAACTTAGCAGTTTTATTGCTATCTAATTGCATCTATCAAAATTACACATTTTGAGGTAAACTAAAATAAAATGGAAGTAGAAATATATGTGTTATATACATACTAAGTGTTATGTGAATATAAATTCATATATATGTGTATAATATATTGTTTTGATTTTAACCCTGTCTTGGTGCCTGTACTATGACTAAATATTTATATAACTTCTTGAAAAATTATGTTTTTGTTTTCCTCTCAGATGCTTTGGCATTCATATAGCTATTTGTTGCATACTAAACAGTTCTGGACTTGTCATCTAGTCATGATTCAAAAAGAATCTAAATTAGAGACTCAGAACCTTTTGTCCTTCCAAACAAGTAAATGAACAAAGCTATTGCTGTTTCTTGCCTGGGCTTTGTTCTTACCTCTTATCTAGCCCCATATCCTGGAAGCCTACTGCCTTGCTTCAAATGTTATGCTAAGCTTCTACATGTGATAGATCAGTATTTTTGTGCTCCTTCAGGTTGTTAGCCAATACCCAAGATGGAGGTTTAAAGGGCTGGCATCAATGACTACAGCTAGGAGAGAGATTCAGTGTGTTTCCCCTTCAGACTTAAATATTATAATTTTGCCTAATCTGTCAGCCAAGTGTATTTGCCTAGTTACATTCACTGTCATCTAACCAGAATGTGTTTTGCTGTTGCAGGTTTATCGTCAAGACTGTGAAACTTTTGGGATGGTGGTGAAAATGCTGATTGAAAAAGATCCTTCATTAGAACAGTCAATACAGTTTGCACTGAGGCAGAATTTACATGAAATAGGTGAGCGTTGTGTTGAAGAATTGAAGCATTTCATTGCAGAGTATGATAATTCTGCTCAAGATTTTGGAGAACATTTTTAGAAGAATTAGTGTTCAGGCAAAATAAACATAAAAAGAAATGTTTCTAGATATAACCACCCTCCCTCCTCCACCTGTGGAACTGTGTAAATCCTTAATGTACGGGACTTTTGTGATGAAGAGCAATACTTTATTTGGCCATATTTCCAACTCAGTTAAATGTCTAAAATAGTCTTTGAAAGATACTTTAACTATAATTTTTTTCTAAACATAAAGTCACTTAGTCCATACTCCCCCAGCCTCTCCCCCTCCCCCCAAATGATGGTGAATTTGCTAAGCTTTGGTAAAGCAATCCTGGAGACCAGTTCTTTGTACTTACTCCTAGTCTACTGTCTTCCATGACATATGGTGATTTGTTTTGTCATTTGAGTGTAATTTATAGGTAGAGATCATTCCACTTAAATGATAGTCTTTTGCATTCTTGTAGCAGAGATCGCCATGTGAAAACTGTTAGCGTTTTGAGTTGTAGTTTTTTTTTTTTTTTTTTAACTGACTCTTTAGTTAGGCCTTTCACAAGTCGAGGATACCATCCTAATAAGCAGTACCGTGGTATCTTAGTACATATTTGCTTTGAGAACAGTTCTCATTCAGCAACAAAACAAATTTCAAACCTCTAAAACATAACTTCAATTTTTTTCTCAAAATAAATAACTTAGTGTTTTCTCAATATTCATGAAAATTTGGAATACTCTAGCTGATCAAATCTTAAACATCATATAGTAAGAATAAAAGAAAGCAATTTAAGATGGAAGATGAGTATTTTTAAAATGTAATTACTGAAATAACTTTCTGTGGAAAAAACTCAGCATATATAGGAGATTGGAGTTTAATATTTTCATAGGCCCATACTGTTTAAACCATTTGCAAATTATTCTTTTATTAGTCTCTATAATCTGAGTGTTTTGTTCTGCTGACTTTTAAATGTCTTAACCTTCAAAAATGTTCTTGAAAGAAACAAAGGAGAATTAGTAAGCTAACAAGCAGTCTGTATGTGTACCAGTCCTTCATGAGTGAGCCAACCAAATCACGAGTTAGTTAAGAATTTAACAGGGACCATTAGAATATTCCACTTATTTCCTGGCCATTTTCAGCAGTCCTGTGCATTGAGCCAAAATAAAATTTTGTAGCATTAGTTAGTACGGAAACTTTTAACAATCATGTTTGTTATTACTGCCCAATTGCATTATCCTCCCATCCTTTTTCCATTTCTACCATATGCTCACTTCAATTCTGGCCTTATTTCTATGCCCTTTATTGTTGCCCTCATCTAAAAGTACCTAAAGTTTATATTGAAAGTGGAAATAGCAGTATAAATAGCTTTAATGGAGCTTATGATGGGTGCTTCAAAATATGTGTTATACCATTTTACAAGTTTTGATGAAGGCCACGTAAGTTTTCTAAGACCACTTTAATTTTCCTCTCTTGGAGATCTAACTTCTTGACTTATCCAATATTTATAAAATATAAGCCCAATAAAAGTCCCATATATTATCTCTGCTATTCTCCAGTGTGAATAGTGATGCGTTGCTCACTTTAGAAAGATCAAGAAGGCACTGATTTTATTTTATCCTCAGTGTTTTTTCTTTCCCTTAAATATTCTAGTCCCAAAATTCAGTTCTTTTAATCAAGATTTTTTTTTACAAGTTTAAAAGTAAAATTTGAGACACTACCATAGGCAGAGGAGTTGTGTTCACTTTATTGAAATTAATTAAATGTTTACTAACATATATTTCAGTGCAGGCACAAGCATTTAAAGCTGCTTATAGCTTGCCATTGGCAGCATTCTGATAGGCTTGTCAGTGTTAAACAGCTTATTTGGTTTTTGCTTTTTGATGCCTTTTAAAGTCTAATTTTAGGATAGATATATTCAGATGTGTTCTACAGCGTATTTTGCTAAATGTTCTTATTTGTAGATTGTTGTTTTTGAGGAATGCCCAACTGATGTGACAAAACTTTTATTGTCTTACCATAAAGCCTTGATGATCAACAGGGATATTGTAAAGCTTTTTGTGAACTTAAAAAAATACAAAATAAAGCAACCAAGTTTAAATAATTAGGTTGTCTTTCTCATCTATTTTACCAGCCTCAAAAGTGTTTTTGCTTGTTACTGTCTGCAGTATTTCTTCTTACTGTTCAGTTCATTGCTTAACAGCAAGATAGAGGAAGTAGAGTAATTTCATGACTGAAGGAGCTTTGGTGTCTGAGAAGATTATGCCTGCTACAATAATATGCAGTAAATATGTAACTGAATCTGAATTTCAAAGAACTGTAAGATTAAAATCCTACATCTATATAGTAATAACTGGTGGCAAGGAACCTTATTATCTTTTGACTCCAATTTTTTTTTTAATACTAAGTAGTTGTACAAAGGGGTTACAAGTTCATAAGTCAAGTTAAAAGTAGAGTGCTTCTTGGCCAATGTCATTCCCTTTGTTGTGCTCTCTTATTTTCTATCCCCCATCTCTATCCTCAAGTTACATAGTTCAATTTTTACATTATATATTGAATTTAATGACTATACTTGCTTACCCTTCCTCCTCCTATTCATGTGTCCCTCCCTTGGTTCTCTCCCTCAAAGCATGTTTACATCCTGGTATTTTTTTGATAACAGTACATTAGCTGTTCAGAGAAATACCTTCAGATTCCTCCCCTAAGTATATCACGCGTTGGTAAGTTTGTGTGTAAATATATTGAGCCCTATATATGTTATCATTCACATTGTATATTAGATCTAGCTTCCACATATGAGAGAAAACATGTGCTATCTTTTTGAGCCTGGCTTATCATTTAACATTTGTTCTAGGCCCATCCATTTTCCTGTAAATGACATAATACTATTCTTCCTAATGGATGAGTAAAATTCCATTGTGTGTAAGCACCACATTTTCTTGATCCACTCATCTGTTGTAGGGTTTTGGTGCTATTTCCATAACTTGGCTATTGAGAATAGTGTGACAATGAACATGGATGTGCAAGCGTCTTTACCATATCTTGACTTAAGAGTGCTCTGGGTAGATGCCCAGAGTGGTATGCCTGGATCATAGGGTAGGTCTATGTTTAGTAGTTTGTTAAGGAATTTCCACTCTGCCTTCCAGAGTAGCTGTACTAGTTTACATTCCCACCATCAGTGTAATAGGATTTCTTTTTCCTCACTTCCCCACCAGCATTTGTCATTGTTTGAATTCTCCATGTTGGTCAGTCTTACTGGGGTGAGATGGAAACTCAGTGTTGTTTTGATTTGCATTTCCTTTATGGTCAAGTGACCCCAGTTCTTAACGCAGCTGGGAATGTTGTTGGTACTCAGACTTGTCCACTTAACAGCAGCTCCTAACAAATAACTCTGGATCTTGAAGGAACAGGATTCAGGTACAGAAGTTTTCAAAATCTATAATAGAGAATTGTATAGGAAAGGTATAGATCTGTGTGGCTGTTAGTTTTCATTGCTCTGAGAAATTGTGAGGAAAAAAAAAAAAAACAACTTAGAGAACTAGATGCCTGTGTCTTGTGTTTGTAGTCCTAGGTACTTGGAAGTTGAGATTGGGAGGATCTTGGTTTCAGGCCAGTCTGGCATAAAAGTGTGAGACTCCCATCTTCACAGAAGAAAGCCAGAGACAGGCTCATGCACCTGTGATCCCAGCAACTGTAGGAAGCCTAAACTTGGCTTGTAGTTTCAGTTTGTAATCACGTGACTGTTTGGGGGCCAGCAGTGAGGCAGAGCATGGTGGCAGAACGAAGTCCTGATTTCATGAAAGCCAGGAAGTAGAGAAAATCCTTGGGTTCCCCTTTTATTCCATCTGGCTCCAAGTCTATTAGAGCAGTATTATCCACATAGGGGAGTTCTCTTCTCCTTAGTTAATTCTGTCTGGAAACAACCTACAAACACATCCAGAATGTGTTTTACTAATCTCCTTAGATGCTTCTCAGTCCAATTAAGTTGACAATCAAGATTATAGACTACTAGGATCCAGGCATTCATGTCTGTAATATTAGCTACTTGGGCTGCAGAGATCAAAAGGCTCCTGGTCTTGGTTCTAGGCTAACCCCAGTAGTAAGTTAGGGAGACCCCTTCTCAATAAGCTGAATGCGATACTGTGCATCTGTGACCCTAGCTGCCTGGAAGGAATAACAGGAGGATAGGCTAGTCCAAGTAGAAGTTCCAGACTGGGAAATAAAGCAAAAAAGGGCTAGAGGATGTGGCTTAAGTGGTAGAGCCAGCTGCCTAGGAAGATGGACTGATTTCAAACTTCAGGAGTTCACCTCCCAGGACTCTGCATTCCCCCAAATAATAACTATCATAATGACTAAAGTTAGCTGGAAGAAGGTAGGAAATGAAAGTGGTGAAAGAAATAAAAATGTTGTGCTGGGATGTAGCTCGGTGGCAAAGCACTTGCCTTGCAAGTGCAACATCCTGGGTTCAATCCCCAGTGCCAAAAAAGAGAGACCAAATAAAACAAAACCAAACAAGAAATAAATTATTTTCAAAATATAAAGGGTTCTTGATCTGAAGATAATCAAAGCACATGGGGGAGTTCTGCCTTTTCTTAGTTTACCTAAAAATCAGGCAGAGATTCACGAAGCAAACAATTGTCTAAGTCGGGTGCTGGTGCCTCACACCTGCAAATCATAGGTTACTCAGAAGGCTGAGATTTGAGGCTCGGGTTTAAAGTCAGTTCGGGCAGCAAAGTCTGTGACACTCCCATCTCCAGTTGACCACCAAAAAGCTGGAAGTGGAGCTGTGGCTCAAGTGGCACAGAGCACTAGCTTTTAGCACAAAAGCTCAGAGATCGTTCTCTGAGTTCAAGCCCCAAGACTAGCACAAAATCAAAAAGAAAAGGTCTGTCTAGCCTGTCCCTTCTCCTCCTCTGACTTTTTCTGACTTTAGACCTGAAGCTTGCCTGTCAGCTCTAAGCTGGCCCTTCGGAGCAGACCTTCTTTAAATGTGTCTTCCCACCATTTCCCCCACTTCTGAAGCCTACAGAGTTTCCATTGTCACTTCTCTAATATTTATTTTTCTTTGTTAAATAAAATTAAGACAGACTCATGCCATCATTGTAAGTAGTGTTTTTCCCCTCATATGGTATGCAGTAAACAATAATAAACTTGATTATTGCCTTTCGGTAATCTATCTTTTGTTGTAGGACTCTGTCCCAACTACAGATGTAGTTGAGCAATGATTATATTTTCTTCCCTGCAGCAGGAAAAGGTAGGTTGAGAGGTGAATATAAATGATGTTGAATGCTCATTGCCTCACCCTTTGCTACTTAAGAATGACATTTGAAAATCTTCTCTATGTAGTGTTATTGCCAAGTGTTCTTATCACCTTCAACCACTTCCTAGCCCTGAGCCAGCTTGAAGATCCTGCACCTCTTAAAGGAAGGGAGGGCCATATGTCTTTAGGGAAGGACTCTTGCTACTTGCTGCCAACACCCATAGTGCTTTCAGCTTCATTCCAGAGCCTGTCTGCTGTAACAGATCCTAAGCTCCAAGATAGGCACTGACAGTTCTTTGGCTATGGCTCTGGGGAGATGATGATGATCTGTTCATCTCTGTAAAATTTGTGGAAGATAGCATTTAGTGCTGGCGGAAGCCAGCCCACTAATTGGCTTTATAACTGTAACTTCAGGCTAGCACCTGGAGTTCCTGTGAGT